GTTGACAATACTGCCCGTTTCTCCCCATTGCACCCCACAAGGAAGCTGACCTGACAAACATATCCTGTCCATGTACTGGGACTATAACCAGTTCTTCCATGTAATAGGCAGATGGCAACTCAGAACACTTATACCAGCTATATATTTCAGCCAGCCCAATTCCTTATTTGCAAATATGAAGGGACAAAAGATCATTAGATCATTTGAAGATCACCACATAATAAAATCCTGAAATTGAAGGAAGGAATTGAATAAACTGAGCAACCAACAAATGAAAACAAAATAATTCAGGAAAGATGTCATTAAATAATTATAAGTAATATCTATATATATAAAAGCCCAATATGCAAAGTGTCCCCTCAGGAGTTCGACTGGGAGTTCGATCGCTTTCTATGATATGCGCTGACCACCAGGGGGTGACATGGAATGAAGGAAGGCCCTGCCGGCAGCCAGCAACTAAAGAAGGGAGGCCCCAGCTGGCAGCCAGCAGCTGCTAGGGACCCTACCTATGCAGGAATTTTGTACACTGGGCCTCTAGTTTCTAAATAATTTAAAAAGACATTGAGTCCATCAAAAATGAACAAGATGGTGTGGAAAAAAAACACAGAGTTCAATAATAAGAAAGGTTTGTTGCAAAATATGTTGACTAAAACAATCATTGATAGAGTTGAACAATAAAATGAAATCATCTGAAGGATCAGTCAACATCTGGAAAATAAAATTAAGCAGCTCTACCAGAACATAGATCAAAAAGACCAAGAGAGAGCCCTAGCTGGTTTGGCTCAGTGGATAGAGCACTGGCCTGAGGACTGAAGAGTCCCAGGATCCATTGCAGTCAGGGGCATATGCCTGGATTGCAGGCTTGATCCCCAGTAGGGGGTATGCAGGAGGCAGCCGATCAATGATTCTCTCTCATCATTGTTGTTTCTATCTTTCTCTCCCTCTCCCTTTCTCTCTGAAAAAAAAAAATACAAGATAGAAAAATATAAGCATTTCAGAAAACGCAAACAGAAACAATAAAGAAGAAATTATTGAAGAAATAACAGAAGGTTTGACTCACTTAAATAAAGACACATGACTACTGCACCTGGTAGAGCATGTAACAAAAAAAAAAAAAAAGCTCAATATCTAAATACATTGAAATGATAAACATTCCCAGGAAAACAAAAATCTTAAAATTCCAGACACTGGAAAATATTTATATAAACAGAAAGACAATGATATGAACATTGTCATTAGACTTCTTATCAGTAATATTGGTTTCTAGAAAAGAATCACTGTTTTCAAAGGTTAGAGGAAATGTACATTATATCTGAAAAACACATGGAATAATAATTACATATCTTAGATATTGTTTGTTGACTTTCAATTTTTAGGATTAACCAATTGACAAAACAGTAGATTTAATTACAGCTAGAGAACAGAATGTTGTTATTAATAAAAATTGGGTAGTAGAGGGGAAGTGAGAAAGAAAGAAGGTATTGTAGAAGTATTGGGCACTCCAACTTTCAAACTGAGAATTCAACATTTTTGTAAGTTGGTAAATCAAGAAAGGGAGAAACATAGATTTTTTTTTTTAAAGATATAATTGTATCTACCAGGAAAATTAATAATGGAAGGTATTAATTGTGAATAATTCCTCTGGGGAATACAATGTACTCTCCTATAGTGTATGATTTTTCCCCCATGAATTATCTACACTAATAAAAGAGAAAGATGCAAATTGACCATACATTCATGATGCCCACCAGCCAATCAAGAGTGAGTATGCAAATTAACCCAACAAAGATGGTGGGTTAATTTGCATATGCAGGCGCCGAGCGGCCAGGGGCGAGGCGAGAAGCTTGTGTCATCACCATGGTGATGACACAGGCATTCTGCACTGTCCCCAGCCGCTCTGGGCCTCTGGGCAGTGTGGGAAGGCGGAAAGGCAGCTCCAGTTGGAGCAAAGGCAGAGCCAGAAACCAGGGGAAAGAAGTCCCATTCCTGCATGAATCTTCGTGCATCAGGCCTCTAGTATTATATAACTATACACACATATATATGTAACACTAGAGGCCTGTGCACTGGTGGGGTCCCTTGGCCTGGCCTATGGGGATTGGGTTGAAACTGGCTCTCCAACATCCCCCAAAGTGTCCTGGATTGCAAGAGGGCACAGGCCAGGCTGAGGGACCCCACTGGTGCATGATCAAGGCCGGGAAGGGACTGTGGGAGGGCTCCAGAATGTGTCCAGCCTGTCTCACCTAGTCCCGATCAGCCGGACCCTAGCAGCAAGCAAACCTACTTGTCAGACCATCTGCTCCCTCGTGGTCAGTGTGCATCATAGTGACTGGTCCAACGGTTGAATGGTTGGAGGGACAATTAGCATATTAGGCTTTTATATATAAAGATATGTACATGTGTATATATAAGAGTGATGTCTAAATAGGATCAAAATGGGGCTAAGATAAGAATGAACTTTACTAAGAGGCTGTGGCTTTTGAGACCAACCTGTGCTTGATTTCTGCAGGGTTCCAGCTCCCTTGTTGGGCTATGTGTACCATTTCAATAACTACTCCTTTTACTTGAGCTAGCTTGAGAAGGACTTTTTGTGCAACCAAAATCACTCTAATTGAAGAGAATCCTGAAAACTGTGTTTGCTTTGCATTCAGAAAGGAAAAGGGGCCTGTGATTACTGTCCCCTCAGACAACAGGATGAGTGGGTTCCACTTCTGTGCAATCCCAGCCTATAACACAGGAACTTGGTGCATGAGACTGAGATTGCTTTAAGAAAATGTTCTAAAATAATTTTTTTTAAAAGAGTATATTTTTAAAAGTGGCTTAATTTATTTTCTTTTTATAAAATTCTTGGGTTATTGGATTGGAGGTTCCAAGATATTTCTCAGAGACTTCAGTCTTCTAAAATGGGGTTAGGAGAAAAGAAAAAATAAATAACCTTAACATTCTCTTTAGTAACAGCTTTGTTTTTCTGATCCAGAGATAACAGAACCTAGATTGAATCTAAACCTTCAAAACATGGAACAGCAAAGCTGTGTGGAAGATGTCGGACTGACCCTTCTCCCAGAGAGCTCTCCTAGCAGGCTGAGAAAGAGAAAAGCTATCCCTAAGAGCAGGCAACTGGTCTGATACCTTTAATCAGGTATTGGTATCCTCCTGTTGAACCCCAAAATTTCACAGAACAGCAACACAGAAGGCCACTTTGTGAATGTGATGGGTCAAGACAAAAAGAGGACAGGACCACTCTACAATCATATCTAAATACAGACCAAATATGAATATTGTCTAAACGACGAACATGAACATTCCTCTACCTAAGAAGTTTTATTGAGACCCCAAATCACAGAATTAACCCACTTCCTGAAATCAGCCCCACTTTGTTAAGCCCTCCGCGAAACCACCTAACACCAACCCAAATCCTTTCTAATCAGTCCTTGCTGAGCTTTCTCACACCTTTTTCTGAGATGTCCCATGGTTCTCCATGGAGCGTGCTCTTCTCTGAAAGAGTAATAACCCAATTTGCGCAGCAACAGATGTGTTCCTGGTGGTGCTTAGCTGGTGGGTTTTGACAGACCTTAGGCCTGCCTCGTTTCTCGGCTCCACTCCTATTACTGTCTCAGGTCATCAAAGAACAGCTTTCTTGGACTAGCTTTCTTGGTCCGGGCAATAATCACCAACATTTACTAAACACTTATTACCTACCGGGTGATTTATATGGATTAACTAATATGATCCCCACAATGGCCCTATAGTCCATAGGCTTAGTGCCCCATTTATAGATGGGGAAACAGGTTACAAAAGTATAAGTAGCTGAGCCAGGAGTCCAAGGCAGCAAGTTGGCCGGATGCTATGGCTCCCATGTCCATGCCATGCTGCCTTCTGCTGGACTGGCAGTCTACTGTGCTCTAGCACTTCAGGGAACAGTGGGTGGTCACAGGCCACTGTGTCATCAGCCTACATTGAAGGGCACTATAACAAGCAACCCCAGGATGTCACTGCCGGGTTTCCTGTAAGCTATGAGAGAATGCAGACCCACAGGAAAAAGAAAAGTCCCTCCCTACTCACAGTACCAGAAATAAATGAACTTCTTTAAGCGGCTGTGTTATTTATTTATTTTACCTAAGAAGATATTAATCATCTACTTCAGAGTTTTCAACCTAACTTTAAGAAAGAAAGGTATGGTAGGATTTTAAGTCGAATAAACCTAACCAAGAAAGGATTTCCTTTGCATTTTTCTTTCAATTTTACCAATGTGGTCAAAAAAGCATTCTGGCTTGGTAGTAACATGAGTGCTTCTCTCCCTAGAAAATGGGACGCTGAAGCACAGAGCCCTGGAGAGCAATGATTAATGCCCAGGGAGATTTCATTTTATTTACTTTTGTAATTGCCTCTCATCTATAGCCTACCATACTGATTTTCCATTTACAAGTGGTATAAAGTTTCTTTTTAAAATTACTTCATTAAAAATCCTAGTTTGTTTAAAAGAAAATGTTAAGTAAATAGTGGTACAGGTGGTAGAAGACCAAACAGGGAACCAGAAGTCATTAAGGTATTTCGGGAAACCCTGACTTCAGTTTCCTCTTTGCCCCGGATGCTGGAAAGACCAGAGTTTAATTTATTGGTCATTGACCTCAAGGTGCAGTTCATTCCCTGCTCCATGAATTTCTCTTTCTATTCTAACTCCTGGCTCTCTGACTTCTATCTCCTTCCTCAAGTGCCCCTCTGCCCTCTTTTCCTCTACAACATGCTTTCAGAAAAAAGTGGTGGGGGTGGACGATGAGAGTGGCAGATGACACAATAAAGACTATTTCTTTACTAGCACTGTGTCCAAAGAGTAGAAGTGACCGGTCACCCATGGATGAGGTTCAAAGAGCTCTCAGAAAGCCCGGGGTGTCTCATTTCCTCTAGTCCCTGGAAGTTGTAGTTCTCCCTTCTGGGCAGAAACCGTGTTCCCAAAACTGCTGGGACAGCAGATTCTTTGGCTCTCCTCCGTTCCAGCGGAGAGTCACCACGACAGCCTGTTCCTGTAAGAAGTGTGAGTGAATTCAAGCTCTGCAGAGGAAAGCAAGGGGAGGATGACCCAGATGCGTCCTCCTCCCCCTTGCTGACTATGCAGCACCCTGTCCACCTCTCCTCCTTCGGATCCCTCTCCCTCGGAGTAGGGAAGTTCTTAGGGACTCCAAGGAGGCCGGGGTTGATAGAGGGCAGGGATGGAGACTAGCGCCCGGGAATGGGAGCGGGGTGGGCAGCGCTGGAGAATAACGCCCAGGAACCTGGGCTGCGGAGCCCCAGACTCCCGGGAAAGTCCAGCAGTCTAGAGAAGCTGGGCTTAGAGGCGCCCCTCTTTGAAGAGTTCTCAGGAAGTTTGGGGGAGGGGCGAGTCGCTCACTCCCGTAGAAAGCGAGCGGGAGGGCGAGGAGGGACCTCAGTGGCAGCAGGTCTCGGAGCTGTCACGTTCCTGCTCACGGGCGGGGCTGGTGCTCCTGGCGGGGTCTGCGGACCGGAGAGGGCCGAGGGCAGAGCGCGCGCCGGCATGGAGGGACTGGTCCTGCTCAACGCCCTGGTCACCCGGCTGCTGTTCTTTCTGCACTCGCTCATTGGGGTCTGGCGAGTGGCCGTGGTGAAGAAGGAGCCGAGGTACTGGCTGCTGGCGCTGCTCAACCTCTTGCTCTTTCTGGAGACTGCGCTCACCCTCAAGTTCAAGCGCGGCAGAGGCTACAAATGGTGAGCTGACCCCGGAGGGGATGGGAGGGCGCGGAGTCTCCGGGCACTGTCCCCCCCCACGGTACTCTCGGGCAGCCCGAGAGCCTTCCTTCCGAAGCCCACTGACTCTTCACTGGGATTGTGACCCCCTTTGTTCACGCTGAGAGCTTGGAAGGAGCGCGAGATGCGCGCGCGTCCCTTGGGCACCTCAGGGTCCCAGGGCATCACTGGGAAGACTCCAATCACAGCCAGGCGTCACCCAGTCCCAGCTTTGGCAACTTGGAAAATGAGAAAAAAGAAAGGAATCCTCTGCAGAAAGTGCTTCAAATGGGGGAGTTTGGGGGCAAGGGGGTGTGATGTGACCTGCTTTCTGAATTTGGTGTGTGTGTGTGTGCGTGCGTGTGTGTGTGTGTGCCTGTGCGCACGGGTTACTCTGCATACATGCAAGTATGGGAATGCCCTTCGCTGGTCATCAGGGACTTTGGCAAGAGCTTGTGTGCACGGGACAGTGATGAAGGGCGACAAGACTCTGACCGCACAACAGTCTGCTTTCAGCCACTTATTTTCCTTCCAGCCCTGGAGTCCACATGGCACCAGCTTCAGGTGTCTGGGTTTGGTTGCTTCGCAGCTTGGCTAATGGTCAGCTCATCTGGTCCAAGATGGGTAGCCACGCTGGCGGAGGGACCAGCAAGGGGTGGTTCAGACTTAACCTCAGTGTCAAGAATTACAGGCTCAGCCGTGATGCTCATTTCCTCCCCCAAAGACTTGAATAGAAGAAATGAGAAAAGGATTCCCTTGCCATTTACAAAGAACCTCCACCTTCATCCCTCCATTCCCAGTAGATTTTCATCCCAAAACTTTTCTAAGATTGGCCTTTTCCTGTATTAATTTTTAAATACAGTGAGGTTGTGTTTTCATATATGTCAACTGGGTAGTTTTATAACTACCCAATTCTATGAGAAAGAAAATAAATAGTATTAGCCAATTCAAGAATTACACACAGCATGCAATTATAGTTAGCCACCATACTGAGGGACTAAAGACAAAACAAAACAAAACAAAACCTCTCTCTATAGTTTTACCCATCAAACTACAAAAGACTGAATTTCATGATAGTGCAGGGGATGAATGTGTTGTCTCTTAAAATGATGTAAATCTTGCTTAAATTTTTCACTGTTGAAAAATTTCTAAAATTATCAGTGAAAAGAAGTATTTGAGTAGGATCTTAATTTAATACAATAAGAATTGGAATGTTGTTGCCCCCTCTCCTCCGCCCCACCCCCAGTCCCCTCACCCTATGAACAGCTTATAAGCAGGGGGTAGTTAAGGTACTTTCCAGTGTGCCTTTTGGAATATCTCAAAGAAAAAATGGTGTTAGCTTCTAAATGGTATCAGTGTTAAAGAAACAAAAGCGGAGAAAAGTGTGCACCTACCAGGTCATATGAAATTGATTTAGTTTTTACTGAGTCACTTTAAAATGCTAAGGTAGAAAATATCTTCAATAATAGGAAGATGAAGTCTGAGATGTGAAAAATGTTCTACCACCAAGCATTAGAGCTTCTGGAAGAAATGTCAACCTCGGAAGAGGGATTAGCTCAGTGGGCTCTGAAATATACCTCCTCCCTCTCCAAGAGTAAACCAGAGTCCTTAGCTCACATTAAATCAAAATTTCCCTCCAGCTGTACAGACACTACAGCTAATGGACCTTCATGTCTATATTATCACTGAGGGCTGATTCAGACTAACACGTAACTTACAACCAAGAGAGGAGAAGAAAGTTGAGGCAAAAATAATACGTGATGGTCAATGTGTCAACGTCAAATAAGGGCCTGGGGACATACTCAGACAGATAATGGGGTAAAATCTGGGCTTTCCTACTTACTTTCTGTGGGGCATTGTACAAGTTTCTTGACCTCTCTGAGCCTCAGTTTTCTCAACTATAAATACTTATCTCATAGATTGTTATGAATTAAATGAAATAACATGTTGATGATTAATGACTAAAAAAGGAATGGTCTTCTCTAGATCCTAAGGTTTCTCTCTTTTTTCTTATTTTTAAAAAGCATTCTGTGTTAACTGGACACCTTTTCTGTCTTGTACATCTTTATTTGAGGGACTGGTCAATAAACCATTGGTTCAGAACCAAAAAGTAGAAAGAAAATTCTTACCTTTATTTTAGAACAGGCTCATGATGTAATTCACAAAAATTTTGCTGGCTCATTTTCTAGATTAATATTTAAAAATAAGAAAAAAATTGATAGATTTGGCTTATTATAAAATTTCAGGGACAAATGAGTCTTTGTAAATTATCTAAATTGAAATGTGATTTGTAATGCCTTATTCTACTGATGTTATAATTGAATCTGCAAATATGGTAATTTTTGTGGGCAAAGCACTCAGGCTATTCTGTCATCTGAGAAAAGAAATCAGAAGATGGAATGATAAAATATATAGAAAATTACCCCTGATGTAATATAGTAATCATTAAAACGTGTTTGACTTGGGACATATTTCATTGCTAGGCTGATGTTTTCTAGGTAAGGCAAGGCATAACTTTTCGTTTTTTCTGAGTGTTAAGAGAAGTTTTCATCAGAAAACCAGGACTGATGGAATAAAAAAACACACAAATAAATATATGGCAGTACCTATTCATTTATATAGGAAAATGTCAATATAGATCTATATGGAGATCTGTATTAGTATAGATATGTATCTTTTTATTTATTGGTCTTATATTTTGCAATTTACCCTGTAGAACCAAAAGTACCTATATGCGAATGTATATGTACAAAAATAATAATTTCCATCTTGTTAGGGGAAAATTAACCTAAAAGCAACCCAATTATCCATCAGTGGACTGGTTGAAAATTGTAACATACCCAAATATAGAGTAGTTTGTTGATATTAAAAACAATGAGCTAGATTTAACTACTGACCTGGAGGGATGTCCATAATATGTTGTCAGGAAAATAACGTTACAGAGTTATGTATATAAGGTCTCAGTTTTTTTTTGTAGAAATAGAAGTAGGTGAAACCTTCCCATACAGAATATCAATCAGTCAATCAAGTAATGCCTGAATGGTGGACTAAACTCTGTACAACACATGAGGTAAAAATTTCTTTTCTAGAACATCAAATCTACAAACTTCCTTTAGATTACCCTGAGCTAGTTTGAACATTGCTCCTTTTACTATATTTGGCACCTAGCCCCAAATAAATCAAATCTACAGAAATCACGGAACAATAAACAGAGCTATAGACGAAAATGTGAAGAAAATTTTTTGAAATGTAGCAAACATATTACACTGGTCCAAAGAATGTTTCTTTAGCTATTCTTTGGAAAGGAAAATGGAGCTAGAGCTGCTGAGCTCAGCTGTCCAGGGACAAGCAGCATTACATCAACACTGATAACTTGCCAGTTGGAGAAATTTAACTTGTTGGAATTCTATAGGACAGGGTAAGCCAACAACACACCCCTTGTTAAGTGCAATAAATGTATGCGAGGGGAATTCATTTCATTTCAGCTCGTGTTTATTAATTTCACCTGCCCATTTACTTATATTCCTATAAGACAGAAATTAGTGCCACTTTGCTTTATTTTGTTTTTCTATCGTCTGGGCAACAGTCCAAAGGACCTGTGAATTACTATTTAGGCAAAACTCAAACAGAAGACAGTATTTCAGTTGCTTTCTAGCCAATAGTGATGACCAAGATTGTGACACATTTGAAGCCTGTTCACTTGAGAGTAGGCAGCATTTGAGAATAAGTAGAAACGTAAGTTGAATTTATTGGCAAAAGTACATAATTTTAAGCACTGAGCTTTCTTCATTGGAATTTCAGAAACACAAGGTAAATATAATTGAGTTAATAAAATACTTCACCTATTTGGGCACCTTTTGTCATTATCTATCTTTCCCTCTTCCTTTATTGAGTGCAATCAGACAACTATTAGTTGAACCGTCTAATTAGTAAGCGTGATACTATGTTAGACACCGCATGTGCAAGCAGAGGAAACAGAAAACAAAGACTCAAAATTTTAAAATAAAAGGAATCATTTTGATTAAGAACTCAAATGTGTGGGAAGAAGAGTAATTATGACTATTTAGCATTTACTAATGTTGAGGTTCTTTCAAGGTTTTATACAGATTATCCCATTTGATACTGATAGAAGCTACAATTATTTTGTTCCTCTATTTTCACCCATTTTTAGATGAGAAAACAGAGGCACAGAGCTGTTAAAAATCATTTTACTTAGGATCACTTAGTTGGAAATTGGGAGAGGAGGGATATTAAAACTCCAACAATTTAGAGGAGAAAGGATATTATGGGTACTACTGTGGTGGGGAGGGGAAGGCGGACAAAGGAGACTTCACGGTATTTGATCTGTAGCAGGAAAAATAGGTAAGAGAGAGGAGTGCAAAGACTGTGTAGATAAGGGATATCCTGAGGTTGGTGAGTGTAGGGACAGTTGAGCAGATTTCTCTGGAGCAAGTACAGAGCCTTATCATTCTTCATTCAACAAAAATATCCGGAACATCTAATATGTGTTAAACATTGTTTGAGTGCCAAGAATACACAAGTGAATAACACAGGTAAAATCCTGTCCTGAAAGAACTCACATTTCAATCAGGGGAGCCAGGAAATACCAAAGTAAATAAACAAGTGAGTGAATTAATAACAGTAAGCAAATAAATAAATGAATTATTAAAACTATGAAGGCCTTAGGGGCATGGCTTATAGAGGGAAGGAGAACCAGGGGGAAGGTTCCACTGGGTGGTCAGAGAGGCTTCTCTGGGAAGCCATTTGAGCTGAGTCCATTAAAGCAGAGAGGGAACTAGACATGGAAGAGCCAAGGAGATGAAAATTCAAGGGAGGGACAAGCTAGCTGTGCCTTGGGACATTTCTGACATACCTCCAGAAGACAGACAAACACTGACTTCCTTTTCTACTTTTCCTTATCTCTTCTCCTCCTCATGTATCCTACCTCCAAGGGGAAATTTTCTTCTAAATTTTTATCTTTA